TATGTGTTCTCTTTTCTGCTTGCTTTATCAAGATGTAACTTATATCTAATATGTTTAAGACTGTTTCTGTCTTCAGTTCTTTTAAAACTTCTTTTTATTCTTTTTTCTTAATTTTTTTTTCAACTTCTATATACTATTTCTCTTTAATGTTTTCTCATAGTTTATATATATTTTTTTCACTCTTTTGATATTTCTTTTAATTTTATATTTCTTTTTCTAAATTGTTTTTTATAGTATTCTGCTATGTCTATTCAAACATCTTTTGAGCTTGTTAGCAGATTTATTTCTTTTTTTGTTTGTTTGATAAATCTGTTAAATACTATTTTCTTATAAGGTCTATTTAGAAAACTTACTATTATCTTTTCTTGATCTGTTTTGATCATTTCACATCTTTTATCTATATTCTCTTTTATTTGTTTTCTTTGTATTTACTTCCAGTCTTTCTTTTTTCTTTCTAATTATAGCTTTTTCCAACCTTTCATATCTTTTATCTATGCATTTAACCATTGTCTTTGTAGTTTTAGTAGCTTTGTACTAATTTCCTTGTTTAGTATCATTAATTGTTCATTTACTTTACTTCTTTTTTTTTCTATTACTGCTTGGGTTCTTTTTGTTTTTATATATTTAATTAATTTTTAGAACTTAACAATGTTTTTTTTTTTGTTACTGTTCTCTTTGACTTTTTCTTCTATTTGTTATTATGTTGTACATTTTTTTCTTGAGTATATGTTTACTTGCTGCTATAATAATTAATTTTTCTATTATATCCTATATATTGTTTATTTTCTTTGCTTTTTTTTTTCATCTTGTTCTTTCTTGTAAATGTATTTCAATATCTTTTTTCTTTTTAGTTAGTTTTGTAATTTCTGTACATAATTTTTCTAGTTTTTTGATTTTGCTTGGTCATACAGATATACTGTTCTTGACTATTTTTTTTTTTTAATCTTTAACTTGCTTTTTTTTGCTATTATATATTTAATCCATATCTCTGCTATTACTATTTTGTGATTATTTTCTGTAATTTATTCTACTTCTTCGATTTCTGCTTTTTGTAAACTTAGAGCCAATCTATCTAATATCTATATATAATTAATCTTGTTGTTGCTTCTCTACTTAACCATATATATTATTAACTTATCAAATTCATGTCTTTATATGTATATTTAAAGTCTTAATTCTTTATTTAACTGAAGATTAACAGTCTTTTGTAATTTGTTGTTTGTAGATATTATCTGTCTAAAATATTGTCTATTGTATAATTAAAATTTCTTATTATGATAATTTGTATTTGTCTTTTTCTTTTTGAGCCTGTTTTTATAATTTTTTGTTGAATGTTTTTCTCTGCTACTTTATCATTTGATGGCATATAGACTGCAATTACTACTAACTTCAATTGTTTGAAGTATAGTATGATCTCTATCATAGATTTACTTATTTTTTTTAGCAGCACCTATATGCTTTTTCTATTTTATCAACCATAATTCTAATATTCAAACTTTTCTTTTTATTCTTTGTTGCATTTGTCCAAAATTCTATATATCTTTTGTTTACTACATATGTTAAAAATTTTTTTTTCTTTTTATAAGATTTGTTTTTGTAATTTCTTCTCCTTTTGCCTAACCAAATAAGTTTTTTAACTTTCAACCTTTAGTTTTTAGTCTATTAACATTGTGACATGCTATTTTGATTTCTTTTCTTTATTTTTTTCATTTTTCTTTTAACTTTTTTTGTATTGTTGTTTTGTTCTTTATCTTTTCTTTTTTTATTTTTATTTTTTTTTCTTTTAGACTAAAAGATATTTTTTTCTTTTTTTTAAAAAAACTCTTCTTTTAATTTGCAGAAAATTTCCAATCTCCTCATTTAAGTTTATTTATTTAACTAGTATGTCTTTAAAAATAATTAGCCAAAGCTGTTTAGCTTTGTTAAGTTTCTAATCTTTCTAATCTTTTTAATATTTTTTAAAGTAAGTTATATATTTGCAATTATGCTTTTTTATTTTTGATTTAGTTTCTCTTGTAGTTATTGTAATGTTTATTATTTTTCTTTCATCTTTCATTATGATTAATATTTCTATAAAATTTTATATCTGAACCTTTACTAGTTTTATCCTCATTGGTATATATTTTCTCTTTATTCTTGTTTATATATTTTTTTTTTCTTTTCTTATGATATTGCCAAAAAATTAGGTGATTGTTGAATCTTATTGGTTTTGTTTGTGCTGCTTCTATTTTCTTTGCTGATGTAAATGTAATTATAGCTAACCTTCTTTGATTTCTATTTCTATTATATGATATACTATATATACTAATTTCATACTTTTTTTTAAGCATCATAATAATAATACTTCTGATATATTTTTTAAAAGCTCTACTAATTATATTATAAATTGATTTTGCATATTATATCAATTATAATCTTCTTTACTTATCAATACTCTTGCAAGTTTGTATATTTCTATTAGTAATGACTATAGGATACTTTTTCTTCTAGTTTTCTTGTTTTAATTACTGCTAATGCTTTGTATTTAAATCTTTTGATATATTTTATATAAGCTTTTTTAATATTTCTGCATATATGATTTATTTCTTCTATATTAATATTAGTTGATAGATCTTATATTATTAAATGTGACTCTACTTTTATATCCTCTTTAGTTGCATGGCTATCTTTATTGTTTTTTTTTTTTTGTCTAATAAAGCTCTTGGATTCTTCTGCTTTTTTTTTTTTATTTTTAGTACTTGTTGTTTCTGTTTTCTTTCTTGGTTTTTTGATTTTTTTAAAATGATTTTAAGCCATTTACCTTCTTTTTCTTTAATTTACTTTATTACTGCATTTCTGCTAAATTTATAGTCAAAATTTACTTCTATTCAATTGTTTTTATTTTTGAATAGTTCTTGAATCGATTTAATAGAATAATTTCTTTAAAAAATCTATTAAATATATTTAATTCTTTTTTTTTTGTTTTCATTTAGCATTATATATATTGGTATATTTGCCTTAAAGAATTTACTTTTATTATATATATATTTTTTTAATAACTACTGATTTTGGTCTATTATATCTGTTAATTTTAAAACTTCTTGATTTTCTTTTTCTGTCTTTAGTTTTGCTATTCGTCTATCTATATTCTTAATGTCTTTTTTAAGATTATATATTCTGTTATCTATTAACTTTTCTTAATTCTTTTTATTTTCTTTCTTCTAATAATTGACTTTGTCTCTTATTGTTTTTATTAGCAGATTTTCTATAGTCTTATTTTTGAGATTTTTGAGTTTTGTTAATATATACTTGAAATGCTTAGTTCTTCTATTTGTCTTATAATTTCTTTTAGATTTTGATTTATTTCTTTCTTTTTATCTTTATATTTTTAGTATTTTTCTTTTATATATAAGAGCATTTATTTTTTTAATCTCTTTTGCTTCATTCATTCATTCTAGTTTTGTTTCTTTTTTTAATGTTTTTTTCTCATTATATTTACTTGATATTTGAAAAACTCAGGATTTATGTTTATTAATGCTAATTTCTTTATCTATTCTTCTATAATATTATGTAAAACTATGCATATTTTTACTATTTTTAGAATCTTTAATATTTGACTATAAAAGAGCAAATCATTTGGTATAATGTTTTTTGGATCATAAATTACTAGGTCTCTTGCTATATATTCTAAATTATTAGGATTTCTTATGGGTTTTAATAGAATTGCATCTAGTATCTTATTATCTATATATATTTTATTTCTATTACTAAAAACTTTAATATATTAAATTAGGTTTATACTGTATAGTAATTCTAATCTAGTTTGTATTTCCATTTCTAGACTATTCTGTTATTCATTCATCTGTTTATTTTATATATTATATTTACTTATTATTTTCCAATATAACTATTTGTTATTATTATTTATTGTTTAGTATAATGTAATGTATTGTTTTTGTTTGTATTGATGACTAATCACATGTTTCAATTTTATTTTCCAGATTTAATGCAATTTCCTAGTTTTTTTTTTTAAAAACTGTAAAACTAGTCAAAGTTTTATTTAACAAGACTTTACTTATACTATTATTAAGGTAAAATAATTGTATTTTGTATCTAAGTCTTTTTTTTTAAAACCTAAAATGAGGTTTGTTGAACTGTCTTTGTGTTTTTTCTTTATATTTATTTATCTTTGTTTAGAAATTAAGGATTAGCAAAGAGAGTTTTTTAATGCAAAGTAATTGAAACACTATATTTATTATATTTTAATATAAATCTTAAATAATTTATTATTAATATAATAGTAAGTTTTTTATTTTTTTATTTTTTTTTTAGTATTAAGATCTTGCTTGTATCTTTATTTATAATTTTAATTTTATACTTTAGTACAAAAGTACCAAAGTAAACTAGAATTTTATTCTACAAAAATAAATTACATGCAATAATAAGAGCTTATCTTTAACCTAAACTGAATAGTAAGTTTTTATTATTGGACTGTTTTTTATATTCGTTCTATTAAATAATTTTTCTTAATATTGACATTACTTTTTTTAAAAATATATATTTATTTATAATACTTTTAATATATATCCTGTATAATTGTTAAAACAAGCTAATTTCATTACTATATACATATTTAATTTTTTGATTCAAAAATTTAATACAAAAAATAATTTTTGAATTAAGTAACTTCATTTAAATCTAAGAATTCTACTTAAGTCTTTATAATTTACGGGCCGGACTAATTTTAAAGTCAAACCCGGCCCGGCCTACTATTTTGGGTCGGACTTGGGCTCAAAAATATTTTTTGGGTTGGGCTCAGAAAGCCCGGCCCATTTCGAACACTATCTGCATCTATATTAACATCCCTAAACTTTTTAATTTAGCTTTAATCAAATTAATTTTTGTTTGCATAGATTTACAGATAATATGTTTAGAAATTTCTTTAAAATTGTTTATTTTAAATATATGATACAAAAGTTATAAATAAATTAATAATTTATTTAGTTATATATACATGGGTCCTAGAAAAAATAATAATTTGTTTGTGGCAATTGTAATGATGGTAGTGAAAAGTTTGAAGAATCCGGTGGCGAGGATGCAATAAATTCTTCAATTGAAGCTGATGATACGCTCTCCGCATCATAATCAATATCCTCAACCTGAAGAGCGAAATAATTAACATCTTCCCCTAATGAATCGTCATTCTGCTCATTTCGGCGAGGGCTTGATTTAGTTACTGTCAACTCCCGTTCTAACACGACTACAACATCAGAAGCACTATTCATATAATAAACACCATTTCGATTACTTCTGCTTGTAATTTCACGGCGTCGTAAAGCGGTAGATTCATTCGGATTGGCATCTTTCAATTGTTGCTTATCTGAAGTAGGTTTGGTTGAAAAAACATTCGTTGAAGGTTGATAAATTTTTTGGTGATTTTCTGGTGTTGCTTCTATAGTTTTTGGTGCAGCAACACCATTACTATTTGTAAAGATGTAATCGAATTCTGCCATGAAGAGACTAAAAACACCGGCTGGGATACCCAATGTAGGACAAAATGCCATCCCAATATTATGTACGGTCATCTTATTAATCTCAGAATTTTGTACAATTCTAATTAAGTGACCTATCAGTGTCCGAAGTAATGTATAGTTGACTAAAGGAAGAGATGAAATTAAACGACCAAGTTTATTAATACGATCTCGTCTATCAAGAAGACGAACAGCGTTTACAAATTCCATGTGTAATTCTCGGGTTAGAATTTTCGTAGGTAATTCTCTCAAATAAAGCTTCAATAATCCAGCCACAGCATGCACATCGTAATACTTTCCTTGATTAAGTAAGTCGACATCGCCTTCAGCATTGAACCTATCTTTTAAATGTTTTAATGTCATGGCAGCACCACTAAGACGATAAATGCCTTCTTCTTTATCTGCGTCATTTGCATCCAGATATTCTATACACCTAAAAACGACAGCAGGGAGTTCGTACCCTTCTTTTATGCGCGCAACTGCAATGGCTTGCTCCAAAGGAATACCAAAAACTACTTTTGAGACATTAGGTCGTATTTCATTGCGTTTTTTTTTATCACCTTTACCAAACATGCTGTCAAAAAAGTCTTGCGTGAATTGTTCTTTTTTTTCAGCAATTTGATCGGTCGGTCGCGAAATGCAAGCCGATTATCAGAGCAGAAGTTGTTCTTTTTATACATGTTTTTACTTACAATCACTAACTAACTAGGTATCGTGTTACCTAATCAAAAGATTTGATTGGAAATCTTTAAACGGACACTGCATTAAATGGAGCAAAGGTAAAAATAAAAAATATCCTCGCTACGCATCAATAATCTTTTATAGGACTTTTTCACGCGGAATGTGTAACAGGACATCTCATCGTTATGATCACGCACGACGATTGACCGGCTATTCCAAATGCTAACACGGTAATAATGTCATTAAATAATTTATAGTTATTGTATAGGGTTTCAAAATATGCACGCGGGTCGCGTAGCGGCCAATCACATGTTGCCATTTGATACCCATGCATATTTTTAACTCTATACAATAACGGTATTAATACAATAACGGTATTATCGTATACGTAGTAGTTATTGATAACTACGTACGTATACGTATCATATTTCGTAATTACATTATCAAATTAGTATATTTTTTAATAAACCAGTGATAACGTAAATTATACAAATATGAGAATTTTAGTACAGTCATCAATAACATGGCTGTACAATAATTATAATTAAATAAATTAAACAATGTTCCGCTATGCTTCGTTTCCACGTTACACGTGACTCTGGGTGTGCGATATACGGATAGATTAGTGGTGTGATTGGCTGTTTAAATAAATTTAATTTTACGTTATTTATGCAGTTTTTAAAGAAAGTAAAACTACAAAGAATAAACAAAAAAGAAGTATATAGAAAGTTTTATTCGGGCTGTGGGACTCCACTATTACAAATAATCAAAATCCTTTTTTGTTTTAGAGAAGTTAGCATGGTAATAACCTAGTTCTATCTATGTTTAAGAAATCGCTATTATGCTAACTTCTCTAAAACCCCTACAATCCTGATAAAATTTTTTATATGCTTAGTTTTATTTTTTTAAAAAAAGTACTTTAAAATGTAAAATTAAATTGATTTAAACAACCAATCATACGAAAGTCTTCCTATGAGAGTGACTTTCAAAAATACAGATCATGTGTGTAGCGCCACCTACGTTCAATATGCACAATATGCAAATATGCAATGCAGGGTCGGAATTCGGCAACTCTCGTGTAACCTACGACGCCTAAGTCATGTTAGATTTGTCTGGTGGATTCTTGTCCGTAGGTAAGTACTGGTCTCCTCTTTGAGTCGTTCTTATACCTATTATCATTCTCATACTTACCTTCCTTTATGCATCAACCCGGGGTTGGAACCCTTCTCTTACGTTTTGGGTACGGTGGTCACGTGACTATGTGAGCGATCAATTGCGGTTTTTCAGTTATCTTTGGGGAACGGGTAATGTTAGTAACGGTATTAACGATAATTACTGGTTTTTATAGGATAACATTTTTCACTTTTATTATGGGTCGGGTATTTAGTTTTATGTCGCAATTGTAATCACTGACCTTCTTGCTTGGGGCGAATTGCCCTTTATTTATAACAAATTCTATTTACATTATGCATTTGTTTAATATATCTGACATATAGAATTTATCTTTTATATCACTTTTATTCTATATATTCTACTTATGCGATAAGGGATTATATCAGATATATTGAACATATCTGACATTTCTGACATTTGGGATCTGCTTCATGTGATAATGATTATTTTTTTGGGTCACAATAGCAATAGCACTATAAATTCATACTAACTTATTTGTTGCAGCTACAGCAAGTGGTATCACCATATGACTCGTATTTTTGAAGGCCGCCCTAGCAGAGTTGAGAGCAACTAGAATTCAGCAGATCAATCCAAATTTAGGGTCCAAAACTAGGGATTAAATAATAATGTCTAAATTCAAAAATTAATTTTAATTAGTGTGTTTAAATTGGTTTGTTTTAAGAGTAAGGACAAGTATTTTAAAATTATATATTAACCTAATGGTAAATTTTTTTATATTTAATTTTATAAAAAATTATATTAAGTAAACTAATTTTAATTATTAAATAAAAGTTGTAAAGTAGGTTTTTCTAATTCTAATGATAGTAAAATTATTGAAATAGGTTAAAAACTTATTGTTATAAAATTTTAAAGATTAAGATATTAAAATTATAAAATAAAATTAACTAATAGGTTTACATAAATTAATCAATCAAATTTTTTGTTTTTGTATTACTATAGTAAATTTTAATCTATCTAAGTAAATTTTATTATATTGTTACAAGGTTGCAGCTTTCTTGATACAATACAATCAAGTAACAAGGTTACCTAATACAGTAATTAACTATTGCAAATATATATAGGATGGAGGTATAGTAGTTTACTTTATTATACAGCAGTAGGCAAACAATTCAAGATAATAACAGTATATAAATTAACTTTTTATTAACAACACATATGGTGACAACCTTACCTATAGGAATTACTCTAGAGAGAGAATATTATACTTTATAATTAAAAGATCATTATGTCTAAGTTGAAGTATAGAAACTTAGAATTGGCAAGGAAGGAGAAAAGATATCTTTTATATATTTTTTTATCTAGTAGGAGTAATGAAGGTTTGAGTGACATCTTTTGATACTATATTTAAGATAGTAGGGATTGTGCAGAGGCAAATGAAGTTTGTACAAAAATAGTTGAGACAATGTTTATGTATATTTGTTATTTGTACTTGAAGTACTTGAAGCTTGTATCAAGATACTTAAGTCTGTGCAGAACAGTTAAGATTTTGTAAAGACACTTGGGAATTATGTTAAAGATACTTAAGATTATGCAAAGACATTTGGAAATTGTATTAAGAATACTTGAAATTCTTGTACTATAGGATTTGGAATAGTAAATTGTACTAGGATACATGAAACTTGTGTAGAAGTACTTTGGGTTTGTAAGACAATAGTGACATCATAGATGTTACTTAATGTCATATGTCTGTATCATACTTCTAACAGCTAATTAAGATTCTATTATCTAACTACTATATACTATAATATAACTATGCTAATAACTAATAATAAATATAATATAAAATATAATAATAAATATATTATAACTACTAATAATATACTATGCTATACTAATAATCTATTTTGTTTTTTTTTTTGTTTTTTTCGGTATTAAGATGACCTCTTTGGTCCGAGCTTTTTATTAATACTTATAGCAAATACATATTTTATATAGACGTATCTATAATGAACTATTAGATGAGTGTACAACTGACTACACGTATAACTTTTCTATATTACCTATTTAAGGAGTCTACCCAAGGGTTCCCTACCAGTTGCTGTATCTAACACCCCTGCTTAGATGTTCCATTTAAACCCTCTAATCTAACCCTAGTATTAATTTCACCAGATCACAGACCCAGATCTATTCACATTTGACCATAGAACTATAATCCTTAGACTATTTTTATCCTCGAGGTAAACCTACCAGAGCGAGCCATATTTTCTTTTACCACTAACTTGGTTTGATGCTATGACTGAAGCCAACACTTGCAGTTAGAGTTACCTCTTAAACCACTATTACCCTTGTAAAGTTCACCTAAACCCTGGTACCCATCTTTCTGACTTCTTCTCTATCATCCCCTACTAGCCGCAACTCAGAACCAATAACGGACTTCCCCAGACTCCCAATCCAGATGACCTGGTATGGTATACTTATGTATCTTTTTCCTCTGGCGATCCAGTGGTCTGGTTGGTCATATGCTCTTCTACACATCTTTGTCATCTGGTTTTATCTGAAAGTTTCTATGAAGGTGTTTCATAGGCTTCTGTTAGTTTAATGGCACCATCAAAAGTTTGTGCTATCTCTTTACTCAGGATTTCCAAGTGAGTTTCCATCTCTTTAGTTTCTTAGTCTTCTACGCCTAGTGGTCTTATTATGAGTTTGCCCAAAGCCTTATATGACACCAGTTTTACATTCCTCTATGTACATGTACTGTGTAACATTACACTTCGCATAGATGCCCCAAGCTCCCAATGTTAGGTGGGGCTCGACTTAATGTACCTAAGATTACAGATGCCCAAAACCCAACTGATCGGCAAGAGACAGTTACCATAACACAGGTATAATTTCCAA